CAATTGTCAGACTGGCGGGGTGGTTGCTGAGCTGATCAGAGGTAAGGCACATGCTCGGCGACACGCTGGGGGTCTGTGGTCATGTGACGTCCGGGTTGCGCAGCATTTGGGATTTGAATTGGAGGCAAGATGGTGTCTGGGTGCACCCTATGGCACGGCACTGTACACGGAGTAGGAAGCTGCTTCTAACCTGACTATGTGTCCTTCTTGCAGGTATCCGGCTACATTTCCATTCCCTGGTCAAGGGTCTCACTGCTCAGTCCGCCTCCAAGGCACAGCTCGGCCTCGGGCACAGCTACTCCCGGGCCAAAGTCAAGTTCAATGTCAACCGTGTGGACAACATGATAATCCAGTCCATCAGCTTGCTGGACCAACTGGACAAGGACATAAACACCTTCTCCATGAGGGTCAGGTGGGTGCATGTTCTGTGGGGGGGGGGGGGTGGCAGCTACCCTGCTGTGATCAAAGGAGCTCAGATGAGTGGGGCGCCTCCAGGTTGGGGGTGGATGGAACTCCAAGGTATGGGGTGGTGTCTCTGGGTGGAAGAGTTAACATGGGTGCTGCTCCTCAGGTGTTTGTGGGCATGGGGTCAGTTCCTCAGGTGAGTGTAGCTCCCCCAGGTTGGTGGTGGTTGGGTATGATGATTAGGGGGTTGAGGCTCTTTCAAGGAATGGGGGTGTTTGTATTTGTGCAGCTTCTCAGGGGGCAGGAGTGATTATGTGCAACTTTGGGTTGGTGCTCCTCAGGGGTGCCTGGGTGTGTGCTGGTCCTCGGGGATGGGGTACATGGGTGGCTATGGCTCCCATAAGGCAGGTTGGGTGTGCTGGTCCTCGGGGATGGGGTACATGGGTGGCTATGGCTCCCATAAGGCACGTTGGGTGTGAGCTGGTCCTCAGGGATGGGGTACATGGGTGGCTATGCCTCCCATAGAGCAGGTTGGGTGTGTGCTGGTCCTCAGGGATGAGTTACATGGGTGGCTATGGCTCCCATAAGGCAGGTTGGGTGTGTGCTGGTCCTCAGGGATGAGTTACATGGGTGGGTTTGGCTCCCATAAGGCAGGTTGGGTGTGCTGGTCCTCAGGGATGGGGTACATGGGTGGCTATGGCTCCCATAAGGCAGGTTGGGTGTGTGCTGGTCCTCAGGGATGAGTTACATGGGTGGGTTTGGCTCCCATAAGGCAGGTTGGGTGTGCTGGTCCTCAGGGATGGGGTACATGGGTGGGTTTGGCTCCCATAAGGCAGGTTGGGTGTGAGCTGGTCCTCAGGGATGGGGTACATGGGTGGGTATGGCTCCCATAAGGCAGAGGTGTCGCTGTGTGCTGGTCCTCAGGGATGGGTGGGTATGGCTCCCATAAGGCAGGTTGGGTGTGCTGGTCCTCAGGGATGGGGTACATGGGTGGCTATGGCTCCCATAAGGCAGGTTGGGTGTGTGCTGGTCCTCGGGGATGGGGTACATGGGTGGGTTTGGCTCCCATAAGGCAGGTTGGGTGTGCTGGTCCTCGGGGATGAGTTACATGGGTGGGTATGGCTCCCATAAGGCAGGTTGGGTGTGCTGGTCCTCGGGGATGAGTTACATGGGTGGCTATGGCTCCCATAAGGCAGGTTGGGTGTGCTGGTCCTCGGGGATGAGTTACATGGGTGGCTATGGCTCCCATAAGGCAGGTTGGGTGTGCTGGTCCTCGGGGATGAGTTACATGGGTGGGTTTGGCTCCCATAAGGCAGGTTGGGTGTGCTGGTCCTCGGGGATGGGGTACATGGGTGGCTATGGCTCCCATAAGGCAGGTTGGGTGTGCTGGTCCTCGGGGATGAGTTACATGGGTGGGTTTGGCTCCCATAAGGCAGGTTGGGTGTGATGGTCCTCAGGGATGGGGTACATGGGTGGCTATGGCTCCCATAAGGCAGGTTGGGTGTGCTGGTCCTCAGGGATGGGGTACATGGGTGGCTATGGCTCCCATAAGGCAGGTTGGGTGTGCTGGTCCTCAGGGATGGGGTACATGGGTCGGTTTGGCTCCCATGAGGCAGGCGTGTGGTCACTATATCTGGGTTGGCCTTTGTCCTGTGTAGTAGAAGTGTGTACATAGACATCCTCCCGATGCTTACCACAGGCAGCGTTGCCTCTCCCGCTGTCTGTATAGAAAGAGGAGGAAGAGTAACGTCTCCGTCTACACCACAGCTCGGCCCTGTGCCTGGACTGTATTGTTATCGGGGAGACAGAACCCCCGCTTTGCTCTGCTGTCTATACACGATATGTAAGTTTGGTGCTCATGTCAGTCTCTTCTCCTGCAGAGAGTGGTACGGATATCACTTCCCCGAGCTCATCAAGATTGTTCCCGACAACTACACCTACTGCCGGCTGACCAAGCTGATCGGCAACCGCAAAGAGCTGAGCGAGGAGAATCTGGAGTCCATGGAAGAGATCGTAATGGACAGCGCCAAGGCCCAGGCCATCCTGGACGCTTCCAGGTCCTCCATGGGTGAGTCGGCGCTGCTCCTGCAGGGACCGGAGTGTGATCCTCATTGGCAGGTTCTCCTCATCCAGCCGGATCACTTGTAGGCTGTTTATTGCTCCCTCAATGTACATGTGTCATTAGATGGAATAGGATGGGGTCACCTCAACATGGGTGGGAAGGGTCACCATGGTCCTCCTATTGGGCGGAACGGTCAACGTCCCACCCTACTTTCCTCCTCTCTGTAGATGAGGGGGGGGAGTCAGTCTTTGTTGGGGGGATGGGATTATTGGGGACGTGCAATGATGTTTCATGAAATCTGTCAATCCACTGATCAGTGTGATGTCACCTGAGGTTGCTGAGCACGTCTTGTCCTGTGGTTTTGGGGGGGTCCAC